TTTACACAGGAGCAGCCATACAGTCTCAATCACGGTCAATGGGAGATAACCACTGCCACGATGTAATCACCAAACAATATACATTGTACAAACCACTTCAGCTGTTGACATTATCTGTACTCTCTATGTTTTTTTCGCAAATCACAAACGTGGAATGAATCCTAAGTACACAGAGGTGGCGATGTCTGTAACTGATTGACCTGATGAAGATTTTTCAAAAGATTTAGCAGGAATGTTACATGATGTTGCATACCACACTGGCGTGCCTTTTGAAAAGAAGTAGGTACAAATTCCGCCATATGTTAGTTAAGATCATACTTTTAGGGATCATTTCTATAGTATGCATCGCCATGACTTCAGGTAAAACTGACAGTCTACCAAACCACGAGGACGATAGACAGCCTCTCTTTCTGAGCGCGAAGCGAACCAGGGTGAGTGCCAGCTCAGGCTAGTAACACTGGTTATTGATGACCGTTCCTCTCAGTCACATGTGGCAGAGATGGAGGGAAGAGAGGCATTCTGAGTGGTTTGGCTTATCTATTTTTCCAAGTAAATGTCGATTAGCCACTTCATATAGACACTTTGTGCGTGACTTCATAATTAATCAACAGTGGACACAGTCAACACAATACGCTGTGTGTGCCAGCAAGAGAGAAGTAAAATAACAATTCATAGAAGAGCAAAAACATCAAGGTTCAGGCGAGGCTCGAACTCGCGGCCTTCTGCGTGTGAAGCAGACGTGATAACCACTACACCACTGAACCTCAGCTGTGTTGGTGGCAGTGTTTGTAAAGACTTATACCTGCCACGGACACTAACAGAGCACGGCAAGTTGAGGATCTGCTGAGGGGTGGTGTACATGTGTAAAAGGCGACAAGAAACAAAACATTAAGAAGTAACAAGCCCCCTTCGCTGGTGGTAGGTTTTTACCCGAGAAAGAGAGATGTATACATTCCATGAAATAATGGAAATCCCCCAAAAAGTAAGGTTCCGGCGAGGTTCGAACTCGCGGCCTTCTGCGTGTTAAGCAGACGTGATAACCACTACACCACGGAACCACCTGTCAAGGAACATGAATCTCTTTCGTGTACCATTGATTGTATGTTTTCTTTTCTCTCACGGCATTTCCTCTTACTGGTTCCATCATTTCCAATATCAGGACTTTGTATCATTGAAACATGACTGGAAACGTATTGGATCACGATCAGGGGGCTAATTAAGGTGTAATGATGTCTTATCTCACAATTTTCCCACCAGTTTCTCTCAACTAGACAGTTAACACCATGTATATTGATGTCTTATCTCACAAACATCCCACCAACTTCTCTCAACTGGACAGTTTACACAGGAGCAGCCATACAGTCTCAATCACGGTCAATGGGAGATAACCACTGCCACGATGTAATCACCAAACAATATACATTGTACAAACCACTTCAGCTGTTGACATTATCTGTACTCTCTATGTTTTTTTCGCAAATCACAAACGTGGAATGAATCCTAAGTACACAGAGGTGGCGATGTCTGTAACTGATTGACCTGATGAAGATTTTTCAAAAGATTTAGCAGGAATGTTACATGATGTTGCATACCACACTGGCGTGCCTTTTGAAAAGAAGTAGGTACAAATTCCGCCATATGTTAGTTAAGATCATACTTTTAGGGATCATTTCTATAGTATGCATCGCCATGACTTCAGGTAAAACTGACAGTCTACCAAACCACGAGGACGATAGACAGCCTCTCTTTCTGAGCGCGAAGCGAACCAGGGTGAGTGCCAGCTCAGGCTAGTAACACTGGTTATTGATGACCGTTCCTCTCAGTCACATGTGGCAGAGATGGAGGGAAGAGAGGCATTCTGAGTGGTTTGGCTTATCTATTTTTCCAAGTAAATGTCGATTAGCCACTTCATATAGACACTTTGTGCGTGACTTCATAATTAATCAACAGTGGACACAGTCAACACAATACGCTGTGTGTGCCAGCAAGAGAGAAGTAAAATAACAATTCATAGAAGAGCAAAAACATCAAGGTTCAGGCGAGGCTCGAACTCGCGGCCTTCTGCGTGTGAAGCAGACGTGATAACCACTACACCACTGAACCTCAGCTGTGTTGGTGGCAGTGTTTGTAAAGACTTATACCTGCCACGGACACTAACAGAGCACGGCAAGTTGAGGATCTGCTGAGGGGTGGTGTACATGTGTAAAAGGCGACAAGAAACAAAACATTAAGAAGTAACAAGCCCCCTTCGCTGGTGGTAGGTTTTTACCCGAGAAAGAGAGATGTATACATTCCATGAAATAATGGAAATCCCCCAAAAAGTAAGGTTCCGGCGAGGTTCGAACTCGCGGCCTTCTGCGTGTTAAGCAGACGTGATAACCACTACACCACGGAACCACCTGTAAAGGAACATGAATCTCTTTCGTGTACCATTGATTGTATGTTTTCTTTTCTCTCACGGCATTTCCTCTTACTGGTTCCATCATTTCCAATATCAGGACTTTGTATCATTGAAACATGACTGGAAACGTATTGGATCACGATCAGGGGGCTAATTAAGGTGTAATGATGTCTTATCTCACAATCTTCCCACCAGTTTCTCTCAACTAGACAGTTAACACCATGTATATTGATGTCTTATCTCACAAACATCCCACCAACTTCTCTCAACTGGACAGTTTACACAGGAGCAGCCATACAGTCTCAATCACGGTCAATGGGAGATAACCACTGCCACGATGTAATCACCAAACAATATACATTGTACAAACCACTTCAGCTGTTGACATTATCTGTACTCTCTGGTTTTTTCGCAAATCACAAACGTGGAATGAATCCTAAGTACACAGAGGTGGCGATGTCTGTAACTGATTGACCTGATGAAGATTTTTCAAAAGATTTAGCAGGAATGTTACATGATGTTGCATACCACACTGGCGTGCCTTTTGAAAAGAAGTAGGTACAAATTCCGCCATATGTTAGTTAAGATCATACTTTTAGGGATCATTTCTATAGTATGCATCGCCATGACTTCAGGTAAAACTGACAGTCTACCAAACCACGAGGACGATAGACAGCCTCTCTTTCTGAGCGCGAAGCGAACCAGGGTGAGTGCCAGCTCAGGCTAGTAACACTGGTTATTGATGACCGTTCCTCTCAGTCACATGTGGCAGAGATGGAGGGAAGAGAGGCATTCTGAGTGGTTTGGCTTATCTATTTTTCCAAGTAAATGTCGATTAGCCACTTCATATAGACACTTTGTGCGTGACTTCATAATTAATCAACAGTGGACACAGTCAACACAATACGCTGCGTGTGCCAGCAAGAGAGAAGTAAAATAACAATTCATAGAAGAGCAAAAACATCAAGGTTCAGGCGAGGCTCGAACTCGCGGCCTTCTGCGTGTGAAGCAGACGTGATAACCACTACACCACTGAACCTCAGCTGTGTTGGTGGCAGTGTTTGTAAAGACTTATACCTGCCACGGACACTAACAGAGCACGGCAAGTTGAGGATCTGCTGAGGGGTGGTGTACATGTGTAAAAGGCGACAAGAAACAAAACATTAAGAAGTAACAAGCCCCCTTCGCTGGTGGTAGGTTTTTCCCCGAGAAAGAGAGATGTATACATTCCATGAAATAATGGAAATCCCCCAAAAAGTAAGGTTCCGGCGAGGCTCGAACCCGCGGCCTTTTGCGTGTTAAGCAGACGTGATAACCACTACACCACGGAACCACCTGTAAAGGAACATGAATTTCTTTCGTGTACCATTGATTGTATGTTTTCTTTTCTCTCACGGCATTTCCTCTTACTGGTTCCATCATTTCCAATATCAGGACTTTGTATCATTGAAACATGACTGGAAACGTATTGGATCACGATCAGGGGGCTAATTAAGGTGTAATGATGTCTTATCTCACAAACTTCCCACCAGCTTCTCTCAACTAGACAGTTAACACCATGTATATTGATGTCTTATCTCACAAACATCCCACCAACTTCTCTCAACTGGACAGTTTACACAGGAGCAGCCATACAGTCTCAATCACGGTCAATGGGAGATAACCACTGCCACGATGTAATCACCAAACAATATACATTGTACAAACCACTTCAGCTGTTGACATTATCTGTACTCTCTATGTTTTTTTCGCAAATCACAAACGTGGAATGAATCCTAAGTACACAGAGGTGGCGATGTCTGTAACTGATTGACCTGATGAAGATTTTTCAAAAGATTTAGCAGGAATGTTACATGATGTTGCATACCACACTGGCGTGCCTTTTGAAAAGAAGTAGGTACAAATTCCGCCATATGTTAGTTAAGATCATACTTTTAGGGATCATTTCTATAGTATGCATCGCCATGACTTCAGGTAAAACTGACAGTCTACCAAACCACGAGGACGATAGACAGCCTCTCTTTCTGAGCGCGAAGCGAACCAGGGTGAGTGCCAGCTCAGGCTAGTAACTCTGGTTATTGATGACCGTTCCTCTCAGTCACATGTGGCAGAGATGGAGGGAAGAGAGGCATTCTGAGTGGTTTGGCTTATCTATTTTTCCAAGTAAATGTCGATTAGCCACTTCATATAGACACTTTGTGCGTGACTTCATAATTAATCAACAGTGGACACAGTCAACACAATACGCTGCGTGTGCCAGCAAGAGAGAAGTAAAATAACAATTCATAGAAGAGCAAAAACATCAAGGTTCAGGCGAGGCTCGAACTCGCGGCCTTCTGCGTGTGAAGCAGACGTGATAACCACTACACCACTGAACCTCAGCTGTGTTGGTGGCAGTGTTTGTAAAGACTTATACCTGCCACGGACACTAACAGAGCACGGCAAGTTGAGGATCTGCTGAGGGGTGGTGTACATGTGTAAAAGGCGACAAGAAACAAAACATTAAGAAGTAACAAGCCCCCTTCGCTGGTGGTAGGTTTTTCCCCGAGAAAGAGAGATGTATACATTCCATGAAATAATGGAAATCCCCCAAAAAGTAAGGTTCCGGCGAGGCTCGAACCCGCGGCCTTGTGCGTGTTAAGCAGACGTGATAACCACTACACCACGGAACCACCTGTAAAGGAACATGAATTTCTTTCGTGTACCATTGATTGTATGTTTTCTTTTCTCTCACGGCATTTCCTCTTACTGGTTCCATCATTTCCAATATCAGGACTTTGTATCATTGAAACATGACTGGAAACGTATTGGATCACGATCAGGGGGCTAATTAAGGTGTAATGATGTCTTATCTCACAAACTTCCCACCAGCTTCTCTCAACTAGACAGTTAACACCATGTATATTGATGTCTTATCTCACAAACATCCCACCAACTTCTCTCAACTGGACAGTTTACACAGGAGCAGCCATACAGTCTCAATCACGGTCAATGGGAGATAACCACTGCCACGATGTAATCACCAAACAATATACATTGTACAAACCACTTCAGCTGTTGACATTATCTGTACTCTCTATGTTTTTTTCGCAAATCACAAACGTGGAATGAATCCTAAGTACACAGAGGTGGCGATGTCTGTAACTGATTGACCTGATGAAGATTTTTCAAAAGATTTAGCAGGAATGTTACATGATGTTGCATACCACACTGGCGTGCCTTTTGAAAAGAAGTAGGTACAAATTCCGCCATATGTTAGTTAAGATCATACTTTTAGGGATCATTTCTATAGTATGCATCGCCATGACTTCAGGTAAAACTGACAGAATACAAAATCACGAGGACGATAGACAGCCTCTTTCTGAGCGCGAAGCGAACCAGGGGGAGTGCCAGCTCAGGCTAGTAACTCTGGTTATTGATGACCGTTCCTCTCAGTCACATGTGGCAGAGATGGAGGGAAGAGAGGCATTCTGAGTGGTTTGGCTTATCTATTTTTCCAAGTAAATGTCGATTAGCCACTTCATATAGACACTTTGTGCGTGACTTCATAATTAATCAACAGTGGACACAGTCAACACAATACGCTGTGTGTGCCAGCAAGAGAGAAGTAAAATAACAATTCATAGAAGAGCAAAAACATCAAGGTTCAGGCGAGGCTCGAACTCGCGGCCTTCTGCGTGTGAAGCAGACGTGATAACCACTACACCACTGAACCTCAGCTGTTTTGGTGGCAGTGTTTGTAAAGACTTATACCTGCCACGGGCACTAACAGAGCACGGCAAGTTGAGGATCTGCTGAGGGGTGGTGTACATGTGTAAAAGGCGACAAGAAACAAAACATTAAGAAGTAACAAGCCCCCTTCGCTGGTGGTAGGTTTTTCCCCGAGAAAGAGAGATGTATACATTCCATGAAATAATGGAAATCCCCCAAAAAGTAAGGTTCCGGCGAGGCTCGAACTCGCGGCCTTCTGCGTGTTAAGCAGACGTGATAACCACTACACCACGGAACCACCTGTAAAGGAACATGAATTTCTTTCGTGTACCATTGATTGTATGTTTTCTTTTCTCTCACGGCATTTCCTCTTACTGGTTCCATCATTTCCAATATCAGGACTTTGTATCATTGAAACATGACTGGAAACGTATTGGATCACGATCAGGGGGCTAATTAAGGTGTAATGATGTCTTATCTCACAATCTTCCCACCAGTTTCTCTCAACTAGACAGTTAACACCATGTATATTGATGTCTTATCTCACAAACATCCCACCAACTTCTCTCAACTGGACAGTTTACACAGGAGCAGCCATACAGTCTCAATCACGGTCAATGGGAGATAACCACTGCCACGATGTAATCACCAAACAATATACATTGTACAAACCACTTCAGCTGTTGACATTATCTGTACTCTCTATGTTTTTTTCGCAAATCACAAACGTGGAATGAATCCTAAGTACACAGAGGTGGCGATGTCTGTAACTGATTGACCTGATGAAGATTTTTCAAAAGATTTAGCAGGAATGTTACATGATGTTGCATACCACACTGGCGTGCCTTTTGAAAAGAAGTAGGTACAAATTCCGCCATATGTTAGTTAAGATCATACTTTTAGGGATCATTTCTATAGTATGCATCGCCATGACTTCAGGTAAAACTGACAGTCTACCAAACCACGAGGACGATAGACAGCCTCTCTTTCTGAGCGCGAAGCGAACCAGGGTGAGTGCCAGCTCAGGCTAGTAACTCTGGTTATTGATGACCGTTCCTCTCAGTCACATGTGGCAGAGATGGAGGGAAGAGAGGCATTCTGAGTGGTTTGGCTTATCTATTTTTCCAAGTAAATGTCGATTAGCCACTTCATATAGACACTTTGTGCGTGACTTCATAATTAATCAACAGTGGACACAGTCAACCCAATACGCTGTGTGTGCCAGCAAGAGAGAAGTAAAATAACAATTCATAGAAGAGCAAAAACATCAAGGTTCAGGCGAGGCTCGAACTCGCGGCCTTCTGCGTGTGAAGCAGACGTGATAACCACTACACCACTGAACCTCAGCTGTGTTGGTGGCAGTGTTTGTAAAGACTTATACCTGCCACGGACACTAACAGAGCACGGCAAGTTGAGGATCTGCTGAGGGGTGGTGTACATGTGTAAAAGGCGACAAGAAACAAAACATTAAGAAGTAACAAGCCCCCTTCGCTGGTGGTAGGTTTTTCCCCGAGAAAGAGAGATGTATACATTCCATGAAATAATGGAAATCCCCCCAAAAGTAAGGTTCCGGCGAGTATCGAACTCGCGGCCTTCTGCGTGTTAAGCAGACGTGATAACCACTACACCACGGAACCACCTGTAAAGGAACATGAATCTCTTTCGTGTACCATTGATTGTATGTTTTCTTTTCTCTCACGGCATTTCCTCTTACTGGTTCCATCATTTCCAATATCAGGACTTTGTATCATTGAAACATGACTGGAAACGTATTGGATCACGATCAGGGGGCTAATTAAGGTGTAATGATGTCTTATCTCACAATCTTCCCACCAGCTTCTCTCAACTAGACAGTTAACACCATGTATATTGATGTCTTATCTCACAAACATCCCACCAACTTCTCTCAACTGGACAGTTTACACAGGAGCAGCCATACAGTCTCAATCACGGTCAATGGGAGATAACCACTGCCACGATGTAATCACCAAACAATATACATTGTACAAACCACTTCAGCTGTTGACATTATCTGTACTCTCTATGTTTTTTTCGCAAATCACAAACGTGGAATGAATCCTAAGTACACAGAGGTGGCGATGTCTGTAACTGATTGACCTGATGAAGATTTTTCAAAAGATTTAGCAGGAATGTTACATGATGTTGCATACCACACTGGCGTGCCTTTTGAAAAGAAGTAGGTACAAATTCCGCCATATGTTAGTTAAGATCATACTTTTAGGGATCATTTCTATAGTATGCATCGCCATGACTTCAGGTAAAACTGACAGTCTACCAAACCACGAGGACGATAGACAGCCTCTCTTTCTGAGCGCGAAGCGAACCAGGGTGAGTGCCAGCTCAGGCTAGTAACTCTGGTTATTGATGATCGTTCCTCTCAGTCACATGTGGCAGAGATGGAGGGAAGAGAGGCATTCTGAGTGGTTTGGCTTATCTATTTTTCCAAGTAAATGTCGATTAGCCACTTCATATAGACACTTTGTGCGTGACTTCATAATTAATCAACAGTGGACACAGTCAACACAATACGCTGTGTGTGCCAGCAAGAGAGAAGTAAAATAACAATTCATAGAAGAGCAAAAACATCAAGGTTCAGGCGAGGCTCGAACTCGCGGCCTTCTGCGTGTGAAGCAGACGTGATAACCACTACACCACTGAACCTCAGCTGTGTTGGTGGCAGTGTTTGTAAAGACTTATACCTGCCACGGACACTAACAGAGCACGGCAAGTTGAGGATCTGCTGAGGGGTGGTGTACATGTGTAAAAGGCGACAAGAAACAAAACATTAAGAAGTAACAAGCCCCCTTCGCTGGTGGTAGGTTTTTCCCCGAGAAAGAGAGATGTATACATTCCATGAAATAATGGAAATCCCCCAAAAAGTAAGGTTCCGGCGAGGCTCGAACTCGCGGCCTTCTGCGTGTTAAGCAGACGTGATAACCACTACACCACGGAACCACCTGTAAAGGAACATGAATCTCTTTCGTGTACCATTGATTGTATGTTTTCTTTTCTCTCACGGCATTTCCTCTTACTGGTTCCATCATTTCCAATATCAGGACTTTGTATCATTGAAACATGACTGGAAACGTATTGGATCACGATCAGGGGGCTAATTAAGGTGTAATGATGTCTTATCTCACAAACTTCCCACCAGCTTCTCTCAACTAGACAGTTAACACCATGTATATTGATGTCTTATCTCACAAACATCCCACCAACTTCTCTCAACTGGACAGTTTACACAGGAGCAGCCATACAGTCTAAATCACGGTCAATGGGAGATAACCATTGCCACGATGTAATCACCAAACAATATACATTGTACAAACCACTTCAGCTGTTGACATTATCTGTACTCTCTATGTTTTTTTCGTAAATCACAAACGTGGAATGAATCCTAAGTACACAGAGGTGGCGATGTCTGTAACTGATTGACCTGATGAAGATTTTTCAAAAGATTTAGCAGGAATGTTACATGATGTTGCATACCACACTGGCGTGCCTTTTGAAACGAAGTAGGTACAAATTCCGCCATATGTTAGTTAAGATCATACTTTTAGGGATCATTTCTATAGTATGCATCGCCATGACTTCAGGTAAAACTGACAGTCTACCAAACCACGAGGACGATAGACAGCCCTCTCTTTCTGAGCGCGAAGCGAACCAGGGTGAGTGCCAGCTCAGGCTAGTAACTCTGGTTATTGATGACCGTTCCTCTCAGTCACATGTGGCAGAGATGGAGGGAAGAGAGGCATTCTGAGTGGTTTGGCTTATCTATTTTTCCAAGTAAATGTCGATTAGCCACTTCATATAGACACTTTGTGCGTGACTTCATAATTAATCAACTGTGGACACAGTCAACACAATACGCTGTGTGTGCCAGCAAGAGAGAAGTAAAATAACAATTCATAGAAGAGCAAAAACATCATGGTTCAGGCGA